AGGGACGGACCATTAGAAAAGTGTTGGGGGGGGGGGGATTTTCTAAGAGGCAATATATTTTTTTTTTGTACACCTATAGAAGAAATATATTTTTTTTCTCACTTGATGGTTGGAAATATTTTTTTTTTAAAGGGGCCCTACAGTAATTTTTTAGTCAAGTAAGTATTGTTATTGTCGCTACTTGACATGCGCACCACAGTATGCATGCGTTTTCTGTGTGCGAAAGTACTCATACTCATGGATACTGCATGTAAGATACAGCCAAACGAATCTCCGTGGAGTCCCCTACTTAAGGTGGCTTTCGACTAAAAAATGACTGTAGGGCCCTTTAACCTATTAGTGGTGTAGTCCTGGAATGTTAACAAGGGGGGCTCTCCAAAGTGCCCTGAATTGGCGGGAGGGGAGGGGAGGTACAATAAGATATTTTAGAAATTCTAAATTTTGTTGGGGTTTATTCTAGTAATTCTGGGACAAACATTTGACATTATTCTTATTAAAAACAAGCTGAAGCGAGGGCCGAAGGCCCGAGGAAATTTTTAAATTTAGAGTCTCTGAAATGCCATTTCCTGGACTTTGGGGAAGATTTGACAGAATTCTGATGGTCAGAAAACAGCGTTTTAGTATGTCGAAATTTACAATTTAGTGCTACTAAATGATATAAAGATTACAAAAATGGCGATATAAAGATTACAAAAATCATTGTGTTAAATGATGAGTGAAAATGAGATGCAATTCTAAAGAACATTCTCGTTTACTGGTATTTTTTTGTGTGTGTTTTCGCACGTTGTTAAGATTATCAATTATGCAACGTGCCATAATATAGGGGGGCTCAGCACGGTGGTCACATTCAGCAAATTTTCTCCCAGGATCGCAGGCTCATATTGTCAGTGGACTTGCGGTGTAAAATTGAAACTTTTGCATTTTTCAAAGAACTGGCCACTTTCTGTAAGATGTCCGCTGTCAATACGAACCCGCACGAGTGGGAGAAATTTTGCTAAATTTGACCAACGTGCAGCCCCCAAGTCAACATGAAATTTCAACAAGGGGGCTCAGCTCCCCTGAGCCCTCCCTCCAGTACACCACTTGGCCTATCTTCTAAGCAAGGAATTTTTTTTTTTCCACTATGCCTTGAAAGATTTTTTTTTTTTCATTTTTTTCTGGGAATAAAGTTTTTTGTTTTTCGACATTTCTTTTATCGGTCTGTTCTTAATAGTAATCTTTTACATTGTAGTGTTGCAAACCAATCACAGGGCAAGTTGTGGTCATGTGCGCCACGGTGCGCCACGGCACAGAATAGGAAGTTATACCAGAAGCGTAACTCTAGTCGTTTCTCTTATTGTTTGACGTCCACGAAAATTTTAACTCGCTCACGTCAGGCCACGCCATCCTGGCTAGTACAGCCGGAAGTTTTTATCAGGATTTGGTAGGTACAAAGTGCCGGTTGTACTAGCCAGGATGGCGTGATTGATGGCGTGATTGATGACGAATCGCTTGTAAAAACGCGGACAAATATTTGCTCGAGTTACGCTTCTGGTATAACTTCCTATTCTGTGGCCACGGTGGCTCTGTTTTGATTGCGCAATACAAATGATCAACAATAAAGTTCGATACTTGTCGACTTGACGCGACGGGATAAAGAATAATATATTCATCACAAGCTACATTGGTCAGTTCGCTGAGTCGAATGCTATCAGGATAGAAGCTTTTAAAAAAAGGTCGATGTTCTTAGGAAGCTCGTCGAAATCATTCAACAAGCAAACCTAAGCGAACATATTTCAGGGGAATTATCGCTCTTGAGGCAACAATATGATTAATTTATCACTGAAGAAAGGCTGCGCCGTATGAAATCTACTGGCGACATCGTGCTGCCAACGTGCGAATTTTCAAAACTGCAGTTCCCCAAGAGCCAAATTGAAAGATCTGGGCCTAATGTTCCTGTTAGGTAAGAATTTTTAATCGACTTATATTAAATTTGCATTTACGCTGGGGTCAGGGAATAATTTGTGTATGCAAATCTGTATGTATGTATTAAAATTTTTGTTAGTGAAATGGTAATATGATCTCGAACACATGGCGGTTGTCAATAAAATATAAATTGCATTTATCCGCTATGTAGTCGTGAAATATTAGTAAATAACTCTGTTTAAAACTGTTATCAGTATTTTGCTACAGTTTACGGCTACAACATTTGATTGTCGACTGTAAAATGATATGTTTACTTCAGTATTGGGTCTATATAGTCGTCTATTTGGTCTCACCAAGCTTTAAATATAGCGCCTTAATATTTGTAGGTTGACCTGGTGTCGGTTGTTCTAAGCTAAGGCTAATCCTTGGTTAAAATTTAACCTAGTGTTTTTGTTTGTGTGTTTCTGCATGCCTGTTTACTTTGAAGCTTTGAAGAAAACTTTCATTCATCCAGACAAGATTTCTGAAGATATATTTCTAAATTACTTGAATGTGTGATGTTACTCTAAGTGTATATCCACACCGGGCAGGCTTGAAAAATATGCGCCTGACCACGGTGGGATTCGAACCTACGACCTTTGGAATACTAGCCCAATGCTCTGCCAACTGAGCTACGCGGTCAGGTCGGTTCGAGTATGCGATACCGGTACTTCGGAACTGAGTCTACAGTAGTTCCTTCGATATCAGTGTAATCTAATAATCATGATATTTGCTGTGTTGGACTGTTGGTGTAATGTACTCAGGTGAATAAGATGATTGTGTGATGTTACTCTGAGTGTATATCCACACCGGGCAGGCTTGAAAAATATGCCTGGCCACGGTGGGAATCGAACCTACGACCTTTAGAATACTAGCCTCTGCCAAGGAATACTAGCCCAATGCTCTGGCAAGGAAATCTCCCAATGCCTTTGCCAAAGGTCGTAGGTTTGAATCCCACCGTGGCCAGGCATATTTTTCAAGCCTGCCCAGTGTGGATATACACTCAGAGTAACATTACACAAGCATCTTATTCACCTGAGTACATTACACCAACACAGCAAATATTATTTTTAAATTCATAGACAATTTGCTTTGAATTTTATCCCAGGGTTAAACTAACGGGCATTTGAACAACTGGCCCCTGGAGGGTGACTACCTCACAGGTGTTTGTTGTGGATGAATATTGATGTTGTTGCGGATGATGTCATCCTGATCCTAATCCTAACTGCAACAAATTCCCATGAGTTATTCAAGGCCAGCAAAAGGAGGGAAAACATTTGGGAAAACAAATGGTTCCTTGCTATTTCTCAAATGGCAAGGCATAACATTTGTTCTCCAGATAATTTGAGTGAAGTTTGCAAAGTATAATCACATAATTACTGTGTGGTACAAAGAAGTTGTCATTCTGGTTAAAAGTTTCAATAGAATATTCACAAAATAATATAAAATAACCATTGATACTTAAATTCTGATTTTCTTTCAGTACTTCGGCTAATGGGAATTGTCTCTTTAATGCATGTTCTATTGCGTTAATCGGGAATGAGAGTTTGTCTGCTCGCTTGACATGCCTCACCAGTATTGAACAGTTTGAGAATGCTAAATACTATGCCATAACCATCCCCTCATTGAGTCCCAGCATAAAAACGTAGCATTCACTTCACTTAAAAATGCCTTTGCCATGTGTGTATCTGATGCAGCACTTACTATTTTCGAGAATTGTAATGAAATTGCAGCAGTTTTAGAAGAAGCAAAGGAAACTGCAAAAAATTACACATTCTCATCCATGGTGTACATGTTTGCCTTGTCCACAGTAATTCAGTGTGCCATTCAGTCATTCTACCCACTCACCAATGATACTGTAGTGTAAGAAAATTGGGATTCCTTGGATTCAATTGTACAATATATCCACATGATTATCTTGATGGCAGTGCAATTGAATATGTCCATATCTTTCGTTGTGCTGCGATGCCACCGTCTTATTTGGTTGATCGAAGAATTCCATCTACCAAAAATAATTTTGTTACCTTGTGCGAACCAGTTAAAGCGCTTCAGCCACGAGACCATTATTTCAAAGCACACCTTCCAACCTTATTGAAGTCTGCCATGCCAGTTCATCCTAAAGTTCATCCCACAGTTCATACTAAAGTTTCTATTTAATACTAAAGTTTCTTCTGCTCCTTCCTCTACACAAGTGACTACATCTACTAAAAAGCAGACGACTGGTACAAAAAGAAAACAAATTAGCTTAGATCGATGCGCTTCTTATGAAACGGGCATACAACACACAGGAAACTGTAGACAGTGAAATCAAATTTCCCAGCACTAGTAAAGGAATTTCATCTTCTGTAACTCCCAACACTGGTCCTACTTCAGAAAAATCTAACACCAAAACACAACGAACTTCTACCAATTCGTAGCCAGATGATATCTACAACTACGTAAATCTGGTGTCCAGTCTTCCTGATTCGAAAAAGTACGGAATTCTGTGCAATCATTGGAAACCTGGTTCTGATTTTTCTTTTCCTCCACACGGAAATATTGGTAGACGTTTCCGGTTGGCATGGTTATCACGATTTCCATGGTTGGCTTACTCTGCTGTGGCAAACGGTGGTTTTTGCGTCACTTGTGTTCTTTTTGGCGGTGAAAACACGCAAAATGCAAGCAAGCTCCAACGATTGATGACCAGTGCTCTTCCTCCAAGTGCTTCTGCTGTCCAGAAACTATGTCAGCATTGTGAAAAATCCAATGTTCATGCAACGGCAGTCGACAGCTCTCCGTGCTACACAGTTTAAGCGAATGATCGAGAATAAGACACTTGGTACCGATGTGCAGCTCAAAAAAAACCCCACCCCGTAAAAGATCTACGTTGCAACTGAAACGTCAAGATGATTGAGTTCGATGTACAGCCCTAAATGGATATTTTTTGCTACGAAGAACCTGAAATACGCAGGAACAGTACGTGCGCAGCCTTTGTTGACGGTACAGAGTTGTGGTTTTATGTAAGTACGGTGATTTTATAACATTCTAATTTTGTAACGTTCGCTGAAGAACATGGTATGTTGTTTAAATATTTGACTTAGTGCGTTTCGTTATTTTCTGTCTAAAATATGACGTAATTAATGATGAATGATATGATAGAATTCGATGCGCAGAACTCAGGAAATGGCATTTCCGGCGTTCAAATTTCAAAAATTTACCCCCCTAATTATGCGCGGTTTTGCAGTGCGCCACGGTCAGGGTTTTAGGCTGGATCCGCGCCTGGATGCTTAGCAAGGCAACTTAAATTGCTATGAATTATGTAGGTTACAAGGCTAGGGATTGCCAAATGACAGGATTATTAGTCCAGTATAAACAAATTTACATGAGATATATATGTTTAAGACACCAAAAATAACCGCAAGCCTAAATTTATGTCCTGAAGGAAATCTAATAAATTTAATCAGCAGTTTACTATATTTTACAGTGTGACAAATATCACTAAATACATGCTGTATATGCATTATGTAGTTTGTAATATACTTGACGGATTGGAGTATAAACTACCTGAAAATATAACAAGAACGTCGGCATTTCGAGCCCTTCGTCTGGCTAATAACTTCGATCCAGACGAAGGGATTTCGCTTGTACGTATTACGTCGAATTCTTTTATATATCAGGTATAGTTTGATCATGTAATCCCTCACTGAGGACATTGTTCGACGCGACCTTTACTAGAATCCCCACATTCAAGACTCTATGGATGTAGTTTGTAGATTGTTGATGTTTCTTACCTTAGATCCCTGTTCACCTGGACCACCATCAATACCAGCAGGACCCTGAAACAATTGAAAATTATGAGTAAATTGACCAAACTGAATTAGCCTTTCTCACGAAGGCCAAATTCGCCATTTTTGGGATACTTTTTTGAAAACAACGTGAAAAAGCTAAGCGATGAAAACATTTTTTCAAATATTTAACTGTAAATTAACTTATAATGATTATACTCACAATTATAATTATACAAATCCCTTATTCACTGCGTACAATCTCAGATTTAAGGAAAAGGCAGTACCCCCAAAAATGGCGGCGTGAGAAAGGCTTATTGATCTCTACTTCTGGTTTCATGTTAAAAATTAGTTGTGGTTCATGAAATTCGGAACAAACTTTCCAAACTTCAAAATTAAGCGAGAAAACCATGGTCCATGGAATGTTATACGAGGCAATTTTTTATGCAACTTGCATGCAATGCAATTTCTGATATAGAGCCATATGCATGTTGTCTAAAAAGTAGGTGCAAGGAAATTGTGAGCATGACCCACGGTTTATTCTGCCGACATTCTTAATCCCATTTCTTTCACTATTCTTCCCTTAAGAGCATGATACCACGAAAGTGTCGGCAGAGCAGTATGCGGGCCATGTTTTTAGATAATATGACTCTGCCTCTGTATATATCTGAAATTGTGTTGCAAGTTGCAGCAAAAGTTCCCTCGTGTAACATGGTTCTAAACTGCAGGAAAAAGGCAAAATCTCTGCTGTTCAGAGATGCTCAAAATATTTTCGTGTAGATTTATTTTTGTCGCCTCGCACACTAAAAAGTGTCGTAAGACGTAAGCAAAGATTTAGTGTGAAAACAGCGATCTTCATCAATCATATCACGTATAAAATACCTTATCTCCTTGCGCTCCAGCATCTCCATCAGGTCCAACGTCTCCCTTCCATCCCTGGGTAGACAAAAAATTATATCAGCTAAAGTCAATGGACCTTTCACCTTTTGACTAAAATTTAGATTTCAACAAGTCTAGACAAAAATTTTATCACAGCTTGAAAGAGCATCACAAAATTAGTAATATTCCAAAGTTTCATTGCGAAATGTTGTAAAATGCGGATAATATAGCCTTGCGAAGTTTGCAATTTTCAGTCATTTTGTATTACAAACGGGAAATACATACCCTTTTCCCGAAGGAGGTATGTATTTCCCGCGCGTAATACAAAATGACTGAAAATGGCAAACTTCGCAAGGCTATATTATCCGCATTTTACAACATTTCGCAATGAAACTTTGGAATATTACTAATTTTGTGATGCTCTTTCAAGCTG